CCGGTGTGCACGCCCTATACGATTCCCCTAAAACGAGGATAAGGCTTCCAGGCTGTAACTCTGACTTCTTTACATTGGGTAGAGGCACCCGTCAGGGTTGTCCTCTTTCACCCCTCTTATTTGCGCTGGTGTTGGAACCTTTGGCAGTGGCGATTAAATCACATCCGGATATTTCAGGCTATCATTATTAATGTCACATTTCAAAATTCAAAATACTATTCCATTAATTTCATTGCCTAATTTATGTGCCTTGTTGATAGGGAGAAATTTCAGTGAGCACTAGTCCTCAATTTTCACAGATTATCCAGTGAGGTCCCTCAGGTGGGGTCAGTAATTTCCTCCCCCCTCTCCTCTCACTTCTCTGAGTCAATCAGTTACAAGTGGAAATTACAGCTTCAGCTACAGAGCTCTGGAAATAACATGGTTTGTACAGTGATCCAGGAAGGACAGGCTGTAAACATGTGGAAATGTGATTTCAGCTCCACCTGCTGGCTTGAAATGTAAATACAAATTATTTATATACAATATTTCATATTTACAAAATCTATGAATGTAATGTTTTGTCCTGACCATAATAAAGGCAGAAAACTCTATACATTCCTCTGAAGGCAAAGACATCAGACAGTTCTCACTTCTGTACAAAAGGCCGTCCCATCACCAATACAACTCATACTCCCGAAATATCATCTGTCATTGTCTCCCTTCTGCAGGATAGTAATTGTTCAATCCTGGAAAGTTACCCATCCCCTCACTGGGGAGTACCCAAGATACCATCACTACAAGAAATGATGAACATCCCTAACTCCCATCCCCTTTATGAGTCCTTGTCTGCCATACAAAGTCCCCAGCTTCCTCTGTCCTGGCTCTGGGCAGTGAGTGCCCATACCCCCGTCTGCTCCTGGTGGGCAGGGTTGGATCTAGCCTGTCTGATGTAGGGTGCAGTAAAAAATTTTAGGGGGCAGAGGATGTGAGGTCAGTAGGGTAGTATACAGGGGGTCTGCAGGGCAGAAGATAGGATATGAAGTTTATAGGGCAGTCTACAGAAGCCATTAGTTTGTAGGACAGTGTAAATTGGGTTATCAGAGCAAAGAACAATGTACAAAAATCAGTAGGGTAGTGTACAGGGGTCAGCAGTGTAGATGACCATGGACAGCAGAGCATATGACACAGGATCAGCAGGGTGGAGAAAAGGGTTATCAGGTCACCAGGATGGAGGGCAGGGGTCAGCAGTGTAGAGGACAGGGGTCCACAGGGCAGAGTACATGGCTCAGCAGGGCAGGGGTTAGCAGGGCAGAGATCGGAGGTCAGCAGGGCAGAGGGCATGGGTCAGCAGTGCAGGGTCAGGACAGGGGTCAGCAGTGCAGAGGACAAGGGTCAGCAGTGCAGAGGACAGGGGTCAGCAGTGCAGAGGACAAGGGTCAGCAGTGCAGAGGGCAGAGGACAACAGTGCAGAGGACAGGAGTCAGCAAGGCAGTGTGAAGGGGTTAGCAGGGCAGAAGACTATGGTCAGCAGAGAAGAGGACAGGGTCACTGCTGGCAGAGCACCCAGCAGATCTCCTCCTCCCTTCCCCACACTGAAAACAGCTTGAGTACTCAGAGCTCCTCCACACCACAGCACATAGCTGAGATTGGATTCCCTTACAGACACAGCATCCATCTGCACAGTATGTTGCTGGCTACAGATTGAGGCTGTGTCTGTAAGGGAATTCAAGCAAATCTCAGCAATGTGCTATGATGGGAGGAGAAGATCTGTTGAGTGCCCTCATTTCATGTCTCACCCCCCAAAAAAAAATCAGGCCTCAAAATTTACACACGCCTGCTCGCATTGGTGAGTGGAAATTACGGTGGGGTCAAGTGTGTCCCCCAGGGCCATCTTGCTAAGCAGGCTTGGAATTCAGGGCTGGCTCTTTCACTCCATCAGAGCCACTAGACTGTTCAACAGCTGAGCAAAGTAAAAGCAAAGGAAAGAGTGTGTACTGTGCTCTCTTCCTCCCCCTAGAGGGCAGTACCTGGCTCTGGGAGCGAAGGTAATGAAGTACTGCAACTTTTTATATGGTGTGTGTGTGTATGTATGTATCTGTGTATGTATAAGTGTGTGTGTGTATGTCTGTGTATGTATGTGTGTGTGTATGTACACATGTGTGTTTATGTACATGTGTGTACATGTGTCTGTGTGTAAACATACATGTATGGGTGGTTTGGTCAGGTTCAGGATGATGTGGTGGAGTATGGGGGGGATTTGAGGTACTGCTGGGTTGGATAAAAGGTAGGATATGTTTGGTACAATTATGGTTTGGTGAGTGAAAGATTATGGGGGGTTATGGTTGTATGCAGTGCATGGTCTAAGTATGATGGAGTGTTTAAGGGAACATTGGAGGCCCTGATGTAATGTGTGGAGACTCTGGAGACCCTGATGCAATGTGGGGGGACTCTGGGGACCCAGATGTAATGGGGGGGGGACTCTGGGGACCCTGATGTAATGTGTGGGGACTCTGGGGACACTGATGTAATGTGGGGACTCTGGGGACACTGATGTAATGTGGGGGGACTCTGAGGACCCTGATGTAATGTGGGGGGACTCTGAGGACCCTGATGTAATGTGGGGGGCTCTGGGGACCCTGATGTAATGTGGATAACATTTAACAGTATCATTTCATGAGATAATTGATGAGGGTGTGTTTAGGGGTGGAATTAGGGGCGGGGGAAGAGTAGGGGTTGGGTGGGGCAACTGGTGGCAAGTAACTCCTAAGGCTTGGCTAGTAGCTCAGGGCTTAAAATTTTGAGCCTGCTCCTAGCACACGTCATACTATCCTCAAATTTCCCATTTTAGTAGAAATCCTCCCTGCCAAATCCCCCTCCCAGAACAAATCGTATCTCCCAAACCCCCCTCTCATCCCCCCTCCAGCACAACCCCCTCCAAATTACTTTTCTCCAAATTAAGAACCCCCAAATTGCCCCCTCCTAACACAAATCCTCCCCAGCCCTCTCCTCTTAACCCAAATTCCCCTACCCCCTCTTAGCACAAATCCCCCCCCCCCAAAAAAAAAAAAAATACCCTCCTAGCCCAGATTCCTCCAATTCCCCCCCCTAACACATATCCAACCAAACTCCCTCCTTGCAATATTCCTTCCCAATCCCCCTCCTATCACATATCCCCCAACCCCCCTCCAATTCATCCCCCCAACCCCCCTCCAAACACATATCTCCCCCAATCCTTCCTCCTAGTCCTAGCATATTCCTGATCCCCAATCCCCCCACTTAGCACATATTCCCCCAATCCCCCCTTCTAATATGTTCCCCCCTCTTAGCACATATATCCCCCCAATCCCCCCTTCTAATACATTCCCCCCACTCCTGACATCTCCCCCAGTTTCCCCTCCTAGTCCTAGCATATTCCCCCTCCCCAACCCCCCCACTAAGCACATATCCCCCCAATCCCACCTCCCCACCTCACAATATATTCCCACCCAATCCTAACATATATCTCCCCCAATCCCCCCTAGTCCTAGCATACTCCCCATCCCCAATTCCCCACCTAGCACATATCCCCCCTCCTGATATGCCCCCCCTCCTAACACATATCTCCTCCAATCCCCCTTCCAAACACATATTTCCCCCAATCCCAACTCCTAGTCCTAACATACTCCCCCCCCACATATCCCCTTCATTCCACCTAATAGCACATATCCTTCCACCCCAACCCTCTCTTTTTAGCAAATATGCCTCCCCCCCCCCCCCAGTTACCCTCCCCAGCACAAATAGTCACCAGTCCCTCTAGCTCTCATTCCAAGCACAAATTCCAAGCACAAGTTACCCCCCCCCCCCCACCCTCACATTATGTTCCCCTCTGTAAGCCCTCCCCCCCACAGGAGAAAGGACAGAGGCTGTGCTGTGTCCTCCCCCTCCTGTCAGTGCTGTGCTCCTCCACACAGCACTGCATCACACACTCAGGATCGCTGGTTCAGGCTGCACAAAGTGTAACTACCAGCATTCTTCCTCCTCCAAGGACTGCTCATGTCCCAGCAGGAGGAAATGTGTATAAGGCGGGTAATTCCACTGTGTGCCGTCCGAACCAACGATCCTGTGTGATGCGCTGTGTGGAGGAGCACGGCACTGACAGGAGGGGGAGGACACAGCACAGCCTCTCTTCTGTCTTCCGCTGTCTGAGCTTTACTCATCACACTTCACTGCTAGAGCCTGCACATTCCAGTGTTGGGATGGGAAAGACACTCTGCTGGCCAGGGGGGGACACAACCGAAATCTGGGGGGTACAGCCCACCCCAGCAATCCCCTATATCCGGCCATGCTGGTGGGGGTTCTGTTCAGCTATGAAGGTGGTATCCTATGGACATAACCCCCCCGGAGTCCCTCCACAACCACATATTATACTATGTAGAGCTGGGCAGTCGGCTTCATCTTCTTGTATTTTGTTCCTTTCTGTTTGGTTTCCTCATTACAAATGATTTCTCCATAAAATGAGTAGAGCTCTCCTCTGGTGAGGATCGTCCTCCTTATATTCTCCATCTGGAGGGTTTGGACGATATTTGAATTCCAGTTTTTCTGGGTGAAATCAACAAGAAAGTGGACTTTGTGTGTCATGTCTGTCTGTGCTATGAATTCTATCTGCAGATGTGTGACTTCACCAAAGACTTCTGGATCATCTCCTGACCAAGTTCCCCCTGAGTCCCCCTATGTCAGGCCTTGTCTGCTCCTGTTCAGTATCTGCTCATCATTTCTCTGTGTGATCTCAGTAATGATATGGGAGACATTCTACTCCAGAGACAAGCTTCCTACAGAGTGAATGGACTGCTGGAGAGATTTACACCCCCCCCCCTTCCATGGGTCATCAGAAGGAGATTTACTGACTTTTCTCACCTTGATGATGGGACCCCATTATCTTCTTCCTTCTTTCTTTTCTATGAGTTTTATGATGACCATACCCTAAGAGTTGTTGGTTCTTTCCCTAATATACTCTCATGTGTCTGTATTTGTCTCTGCAGGTTGTTTGAATGTCATCTGACTTCCTCCTGCTGTGATGATCTACGCTCCATTCTTATCACTAACCCATCCCTCACCAGACTGGATTTATCAGATAATGATCTCCAAGACTCTGGAATGAGACTTCTGTGTGAGGGACTCCGGCATCCTGGCTGTACTCTGCAGTACCTTAGGTGAGAATTCTACTATAAATGATCTCATATTCTGCAGGACTCTGATATAAATCTTCTATGTGAGGGACTCCGAGATCCAGGAGATGAGGGGGAAATTCTATTATAAATGATCTCATATTCTGCTGGATTTTGGGATAAATCCTTTGTGGGGGATCCAGACACGTTCCCTAGATGACAGTTATACAAAGACAGACTTCTTGGCAGGTTACACTGGGAGACGCCATCATAGTCCTTCAGGTCACTGGCTGTTATTGTCTTTCCTCCATTCCACCCTCCACTGACTATCAGAGATCAGACTTTATGTCTGTCGAGGTGGATTGTTGTTTGGATGATATAAAAACACAATGAAGTTTATTTGGCCCATAGAGACTGAGTGATGACATTTCTTTTTTTTTTTGTTTACTATTGAGAGGCAGAGACTACAAAAACCACACATCATTTGAGGTAGAATGTACAGTAAGAAAAAGTCACATAGGTTATTTACAGTAATATAAACACAATCATAAAAAATGAAAGATCAAGTACATGAGAGCTAGGCAGCAATTGTCAGGGATCTCCTCGATCCCCGCCGCGATGGTCCCGGCGCAGGCGCAGTGCACCGCCCTGTGCAGGGACACGGGCACTAGGTCCGGGCCGGCCGCGGCGTTCGAGTTCGCGCATGCGCAGTAGAAGCGCGGCCACCCGCTGGGCATCAATGGCAGCGCAGGGCGGGATATTTAAATGGCCCTGAGCTGTCATTTCGGTGCCTTCTGGTCTTACCTGTATCCTGTGAATCTGAACCTGTACCTAGTAAGTTATTTGACCCGGATTGCTCTTGACCTGCTGATTTCTCCTGCCCAGACCCTTGCTTTGCCTCACCTCTCTTCTGAATGCCCCTCATTAGATCTGACCTGCTGTTGCTGACCTGGCGTGTGACCCGACGATTCTCTGTCCGCTCCCTTGTACCATACTGTCCTCTACGTTACCAACTGGGCCGTCTGACTTCGCACTTGCTCAGCCATCCATCCATCCATCCCATCGGGGTCACCCGACCTCCTCATATCTGGCTCTCCCTGGTGGGAGCCCCTGGCGAACACCCCTACCACTGACAGGTGTGCTCAGTAGTTGTGACCTGGTCTCGGGGTACTCCAAGTCCATCCCCATCATCAGGGGCTCTGGTGAACAAGTACCTTGGGACTTAGACTCCGCGCTCTGGGCACACCTGACCAGTGAAGTGCTAGTGGTGCCGCTAGGAGGTCCCTCACAGCAATATAGGCAGAATAACTGCATAACTAACAAAGAATCAATACAAATCAAAGTATGATAGACATTAAATCTAACATTAAGTGTCGGTGTGTCTTCCAACCATCCATTCTCTGTTGAATAAATGCATTCTATCCAATAATGTATACTGAATACATTTCATGAGCATAACCATATCGACTCTCCACAGAACAGAGGCCAACAGGAAGACTGGTGACTTCCAATGAAGCACAATGGCCCATAGAGTGGAAACGCAAATAGAGTGAATTAGCCTCATTAGGTTGGCTGGAATCCCCAAAAAGGATGCACCCAGTAAGCAAATTTGCAGTGACAAGTCCACTGGAGAACCCGCCAAGGCAGAGGCCACCTCCGATATTCTACACCAGATCAAGGAAAGACCAGGGCAAGCCCAAAACATATGCCCAAGGGTTCCAGCAAGGCCACAACCCCTGAAACAGAGGTGCGACATTCCCGGAAACATGACATGTAGTCTAGAGGGGGTATAATACCAACAGGTTAAAACCTTAATGGTTGTCTCACAGACCAAAAGCAATCTAGAGCCCCTGCGTATATTATCCACCATGGAGTCCCAGTCCTCATCTGAGAATGTAATATTACAATCAACCTCCCATTTCAGTCTATATGAGGGAGGTGAGGGACAAATGGCAGCTGAAAAAGAGCAATATAAATCTGAGATAAGACCCTTACCCCTAGGCAAGTCACAGTAGATACATTCAAAATAGGTAATTGGGGAAGAGGGCGTCAATCCAAAATGAGAGCTAATAATATGTCATATTTGCAGAAAAATGTTAATGTTCAGGAAGCAGGATATCAAAAAGCGTACGTAACATATCAAAGGATATAAAAGTCCCACCTCTCTGAAAATCCATTAGTCTGATAAGGGCTCGGTCATACCACCAGCGAAATGCCTGTGGACATAAAAACACTGTGGCAAAATTCGGGTCTCCAAAAAATGTCGAACCCAGCAGGACAGAGGAAATAAGACCCAATTTAGATTTGTAAAGGGACCAAAGTGCCAAAGAGTGAAACACAATCGAATTGTAACTCGACAACGAGCGAGGGGGAATATTTATCCATAATAAACCCGGTAAATAAAAAGGGCGTATGGATTGGGATTCAAATCTGACCCAGGTAGTCAGGGAATTAATAGTTGCCCATTGTGCAAGTTGAGAAAAAATGGGCGGATATGTAGTAAAGCCAAAAATTAGGAAGTGAATCAAAAATAATTATACACAAATCATAATAAATTCTGTGGTTATAAAACAAATGTCCAATACCACCAAAATGAATAAAATATAAAATTTGTGTCCAAATACAAAAAGTGATGAAACCAAAAACAAAGAAAGTCACCTTTAACCCCTTCACGCCTAAGGGTAAAGCAAAAATTAAATGCCTAAGCACAATTCTGCAACGTTGACATGTGTTAGTGAAACCGTACATATCACAACTACTTTGTACATCCAGGTGAATTATACCTTGATTTTTTTCAGGACAAATTGGGCTTTCATTTGGTGGTAAATGGTAATGGATATCTCCTGATTTTTTTTTTTATTATCAAAGGAAAACTGGCCCGAAATAGTAAAAAAAATCCTTTTTTTTTTATTTAGCTATGTGTTTCTTGTTACGACCATAACCTACCACCAAAGAACCCAAAATAAATTCTCCATCTCCCGACAATCGCAGCGATACCATATATGTGGATGTTATTTGTTGTTTGTACCCATAGTACAGCCCAGAAACCATAGTGCGCATTTTGTTTTTGTCTTTTTTTTTTTTTTTTTTACCTAAAACACACTAACACTGACATTAACACTAACTGACACCAATTTTTTTTTAATCCTGACCTTTGACCCTGACCTTTGACCTTGACCCTGACCTAAACACTAACCCTGGCACTGAACTAGATCAAACCTTGATTTAGGTATTTTTCTTTATTTTTTCTTTTATTTTTTAATATTTATCTTTTTTTTTTTTTTACAAACTTTTTTTTTCCTCTCTCTGACAGGAGTTCGATAGATACAATGTATCTCTCTTCTCCATTCATAGAGAGAGAGAGAAAAAAAACAAGGGGACTGATCACTGTGATAGCCAATCAGAGGCGATCATGAGACCTGGGACCGGGAGTCCCGGGTCCCGATCGTTAGAACGGGACCCAGTGCTCTCAGTGACACCGCGGTCTTGGTGCTGGGAGCACGCCGCGCTCCCAGCACAAAGACAGGTACGCAAATATGACGGAAAAAAGCCCAGGTCCGTGAGGCCGCATATTTGTATTACGTCGGCGGGAAGGGGTTACACATGAAAATAGTGCTCCAAAGAAATTTAGGATAAGTGTAATACAGAGAGAAGACTCGGGACAAAAAGTATTTTTGTATTTGGACACAAATTATATATTTTTTTTCATTTTGGTGGTTTTGGACATTTATTTTATAACCAAGGAATTTATTATGATTTGTGTATATTTATTTTTTGATTCATTTCATGTTTTGCGCTGCTTTATTGTTTCACTGATTTTTTTATTTTTATCAATCTTTTTGATTCTTATTAAGGCACAGCAGCATTCACTTTCAAATGTTTCACATAGTTCTTGTTGCGCAGGTTGTTTTTGTTTTAGTTTATTAAAAAATTAGGAAGGCCTAAGCCTCCTATTCGTTGCAATTTATACAGGACAAGAGGGGTAAAGCGAGGACGTCTATTTCGCCAGTTGAAGTTGTTAATCACTTGTTGAAAATGATTGAGGAACATTTTAGAGACCGATATTGGAAGCGCTCTAAATAAATAGAGGAGTTTAGGTAAAATATTAATTTTTACCGCCATGACTCTACCCAGAAAAAAAATAGGGTACTCATGCCAAATCTTAAGCAAAGTATAAAGATGGGACACACATGGTGGGTAATTTGCTGCAAATAGCCCAGAGGCCTTGGATGTAAGATAAACACCCAAGTATAGAATCCAGTCCACGGCCCAAAGAAATGGGAAAGAACCACGGAGGGATTCCCCTAGAGGCTCAGTAACATTGATAGGCATAACTACAGATTTATAAAAATTTATGGAGAGACCTGATATGGATGCAAAATCATTCAACACCGAACATAAATTAGACAAGGATACTAATGGGTTAGTAAGAAAGAGCATGACATCATCAGCATACATACATAACTTAAATTGAGAGACCAAGAGCGGTACCAGAGGCATCCCTAGGGTTGGTGTCACCCGGGGCGGTAACATGTGGTGTCACCCCTCCAGAGAGGAAGGAGCGGTGCCGCTGTAGCGATAAAATGAGTATCCCCGACACGTGCAGATATGCATCCCCTGAAGCAACGTATGTGCTGGTTTCAGACCAAAGAAGTCGATCTCCAACTTCCTTGAACCTATACAAGGTTAACTGATCTTACAACCCATAGTGATCCACGGGATCAGCGTCAGTAGTTTGCAGCCTGTAAGGGGTTAATTGTGGCAGCTCTGTGCTAAAGTCAGAGATCAGCGATCGGCTTCTTCAGGCTGAAACCAGCACATATGTTGCTTCAAGGGATACATATCTGCACGGGTCGGGGATATCCATTTTACCGCTATACCGGGGACAGCTGTCAGTGTTCTGGGAATCCGGGATCACCCCAATAACTGGCCAGGACCTTCACAGAGCCCAGAAGCTCTGCTGGCATCCTGCTCCTGCACCCCCTGTGATGCTGTCACCTGGTGTGGCCTGCACCCCCCTAGGGATGCCACTGGCAGGTACCCTG